GGCTGCGGCCGGGGCCCCGGCATCCACTGTTTGCTCAGCCTGCCCCGGTGGGAGAAAACAAACAGGCCAAGGTCGGAGCAGAGGGAAAATGGGTAGAGACGCTCTCCCACCCAGCATCCCCCGCAGCCCACGCCGAGCTGGGTGAGTTTTGGAGGTGGGGGACGGGGCTCCCCATGCGTGTAGGCAGCTCTGAGAGCTGTGGCTTTGCTGCCAGCGTCTTCCCGGGCAGGGTGAAGGTTGGGCACCAGTTTGGAGAGCAGGGGGGGGACAGCAGGCCAGAGCCAGGAACCAGTTTTGATGTCCTACCACGCTTATTTCATAGCAAACCTCACGGTATTAAAGCTCACAGCCTCCATCGAGGGGAGGCTGGTTTTCAGTCTGGTCTCGGCAAGACAAAAACCGCACCGAGAGGGGACAAAGGAGCAGTGAACTTCACTGGTTTGGGGGAACTGATCTTGGGATTTCGGCTTTCTCAATGCCAGCAAGGCTGGGAGCAGAGCCGGGGAGCCCCAAGGCACGGTGGCCCAGGATGGGGCAGGTGCCACCTCCGCGCATGGGGACCAGGGGCCAGAGGTGAGCGGCCGGGAGGGAGGGAGAGTGCGGGAACCCTCTGCACTTTCACTGCCGTAGGCAAACAAAAGCCTGTGTATTTTGCTCCCGTCATTCCCTCTCTGACCAATCTTTTCGGTTACTAATTAATGTCGACTCAGCTCTTTTGGCAGCTCCTGATAACTCCGGGATGTTTATTTAATCAGGGGCAAGGAGCAACCGCACACGAGGCTACAGAGATACCGCCTCCGGCTGCCTCCGCTGCCGCGGCACTGCCGGGGCAGCAGCTCCGTGGGGTCCATCCCGGCCCCGGGGCAGTACCAGCGCAGCTCTGGGCCTTAATAAGTGATGAAAGATTTGGGGAGAGAAGAACATGAGCCGGGTGCCCTCTTCTCCGGGGCCCTGACCTCTTCCAGCTCAGACACAGGCAGTTCCCAGCATCGGTTGCTCCCACCTTTACTGGAAAGAGCTTTGATTTGGTGTTGCAAAAGGCATTTCCACCTGGGGGAAGCCTTGGTGAACCAAGGGCAGCCACCAGACGTGGGCTGTGGGGGCAGGACTTCTCCTGCAGCCCTGTCACCCCCCCGTCCTTGCCCCCTGGCCTCAGCTATGGTGGGGCTGGCGTTGTCCCCGGGGGCAAGCACCAGCCCGGCGTTGGGCTAAAGCTTCATCCTCACCCTGTTGAATCGAACGTGGGGGACAAGCGCCCTGCGAGGGCTCAGGCTCGCGGGGAGTCTCGACAGGGAGAAGGTCTGGGCAGTGTCTGAGCTGCTTTTGCTGATCGGCTGAGACAAAGCTGCCTCCTGCTGCTCCAGGATCCCGACCGCCAGCAAACCGCAGACCCAGGAAAGCTCCATGAGCCTTTCCTTGGCTGCTGTGCTCAAAGGATGGCAGGAGGAGACCCTAGGAGAGGGGCTGATTTGGGTAATGGGGACCCTGGGGAGCCCTTGTAGCCAAGGGCTGAGCAGACCCAGCAAGGAGAGCCCCAGCGATGTGGCTGGTCCCCCATGGCAAGGCTGGCCATCCCTGCCATTCCCAGAGCCATTCCCAGAGCCTTTCCCAGAGCCTTTCCCAGAGCCCTGGCTGCTGGTGCTGGAAACGCCTCTCAAAAATCAAAGGAAAATAAAGCTCACCTCTCTGGGCTCGTCAGGACAAGCCTAAGGGAATGGTTTGAATTCTGCCTGCCACAAGCAGCAGCCTCCTCTGAGGTAGCGAACCCCTCTGCCGTTTTGCATCGCAACAGCCCATATCGTTACCCCCTCCCGGTTAATAACAATTTATCAGGAAAATCCTTACTGGTTCTGTGCTGAGCCTCTCCCGCGGTGCTGTGTCGCTTGGGTCGCCTTGTTTACCGTCCTTCACTGCGAGCTAACGTCCCTTTCCTCTGCCTGTCCCTGCGGTGTGGATTCAGAGAGGATTAAAAGCGACTCTGTGGCGTCAAAACATCAACTTGAATTTAAGTCTCAGTCTGAGCTGGCAACAACCTGGTTTTGGAGCCAAGGATTTAAGCTGCTCCTCCCAACATAGGCAAGAAGTGGCCAAAGCATTTCTGCCCTGAGCACGTCTGGCCTGGAAAAAAAGAAAATAAAAGGGGCCCAGGCTGCTTCTGCTCTTTCTTTTATCATGCAAATCCCACCCAGAAGAGCTGCTCTGAATTTCCACCGTGCAAAGGGAGCTATTTACCCCCCTGCGCTGGTACCAAATGGGTTCAAAACGCAGTGCCAGGATGGCCACAACCAGACCGTGACCACGGCCACCGCGGTGGCTGGCCCTCTGTCCCCTTCGCCGGTCGCAGAGGGTCCTGGAGAGACCCACTGCAAAAGCAGCGGGGTGGAGGGGGTTTCTGCCTGCCATGGAGGTGACCACAGGCTCCGCAGCAGCTCGGGGACATGGGGTGGGGGACAGGGGACCATGAGGACAGCGGGACAAGCCCCAGCTCAGGCTGTGCAGGCAGAGGGGCTGTGGAAGGAGGGGTCTGGGGGGATGCCAGAGCATCTGCAGCGAGGAGAGGGATGCTGCTGCTCAGAGATGAGCCCCTCCTTGGAGAGGCGGCGCCTGCGCGGGGTGACATCAGCCCCTGAGGACCCGAGATGCTGAGCCTGGCTCTGGGAAGGCGGTTCCTGCCACCGCTTCCAGCTCCGCATCCCGGCAAGGCAGGGAGGGGAGAGGGAGCCGGAGGGAC